ATACAAAGCAGTTTTACCCCATGCTTTCAAAGTACCAGCCACCTGTTTATCCACAGTTTTCTTCTTATCTCCGAAACTGTGAGAATCTGACATACCTCCACAGTCATCTGCTAAGCAGTGGATTTAGGTCTGCAATCCGCGCACCACTGTGTTGGATGGCGTAAAACATCCAATATGGTGGCATGTCAGCACAAATATGATTCTGGATAAAGAATACCCTGTTGTAATGTGAATGATGTATTATTAAATTATTTTTATTTTTTCAACTTCTGCTGAAGTGAGTTTTTTTTTTTTTTCAACTAAAAATAAATGTGTTTGTGTAAAATCTTATTAGCAAATACATTCAAGAAATCAGTGTGTGTTATCTACATTGGATCAGATTCCTGCTGTGTATCCATTTGTTGAGTCAGGCATACCAGACAGAGATGGGTCAACAAAGCAAAAAGGATCTTCTGGGAAACACTTTGGATTGAAGAGTATGTCCCAGACACTCCCTTGGCTTCAACATTCTTGGAATTGTTACATATTGTACCATAGACAACTGGTTTGACAAATTTGAGACAGTACGTACTTTGCTTTTGCACGGACTTGTTTTATGGGGAAGGGTGGAGTCAGTACAAAACATCTTAGCAACTACAGTGAGAAAGTTCTCGCTACTCTAGTTTCATTTCCACCCAGGTCACACTTTTTTTTTTTTCTTGACTCTTAGTTCCTTGTGGCTGCTGCTGTCCTATTTCAACCTAAGTGAAAGTTTACAGGCTTGTGGTATCAGTTGAAATGTTGTATTAGATCTGTTTACAGTTACCTGATCCTTTTCGCATTTTGTCATTTGTTTTAAGAGAAATGATGCATGGTATTCATTTTTTTTCCTAATAAAAATCTGAAAAGTGAGGCATATATTTTTGTTCAGCACAACGGAGATAATACTTCAAATGCAGCTGCAAGGCTGTTGGTATGTTTCTCTCAGCTTTGCACATCTAAATAAATTGCCTATTCTTATGCAAAATCCTATCCAAACTAGCTTCAGCTCAGATGTGACAAAGAGAGCGTGAACATCTTTTCCATAATCTTTTGTAACATCTCACAGTTTTTCTTCTGTAATTGCTCTATGTTTAAGCTTACTCCATCTTCCCATCATCTCTGACCAGCTTCACTGTTACTGCAGAAAAAAAAAAAAACCTGCATTCCCACAGCATCATTCCATCACCTCCAGATGCAGTGTCACTTTTCTACCGTAGACCGGTATTCCTTTCCATCCATCTATTCTCAAACACACTTATCCTTTCAGGGTCAATGGTGTCACAGGACAACACAGAGACAAACAGGACAAACATGCACAAACACATTCACACGTAAGGAGAATTTAGAGAGACCAATTAACCTGACAGTCCCGTTTTTGGACTGTGGGAGGAAGCCGGAGTAGTCAGTTCTAAATTCCCTCCACTGGCTACGGGGAGCCAGTGGAAAATAGACTTTTAGTATTTTATTTACTGAACTGCTTAGCACCACAATACATAAAAAATCTGCTGTTGTTGCATCAACCTTCCAGACCTCTCAGAACATAAAAGCAAGTAAAGAATTTTAAAAATCACATTATTTTCATTAACATTCCACAGTGAGGTACTTTTTTGAGTTATTTTTAACATACGACTCTAATAAAACACATAATTTTGTGGATGCAAATGTGACAAAAGGAGAAAAAGATCAAGGTTTATTGTAAGGCATTCCACCTGCACCCTATTTAACCCAACCCTAATACCTTATTGCTAAAGGAGAATGTGTGAAATGCATTCATGTAGCCATTCCCATGCAGTTGGTTTCATTCAACATTAGGGTTTCATAAAATGTTTTCCAAAACAGATACAAATAGGACAGGCTGGATTTAGGTTGCTGGGTGTTATGAAAGGGAGGGTTCTCAAAAGTTATATAATTTTTCTTTTTAAAACAAATTAATTCAAGCAGTAAGTTAAAGCCCATTTAAGAATCAGAAAGCATTGCTATTACATACACCTACATGCAAACTGAAAACAAAACAGATAAGGAAGAGAAACCTTGTGGACTGTCCCAGGGGAACCCCAGAGCAACAAATCCAGGAACATTAGACAGCATCAGTAAACACAAGCACTCTGGAGTGTTCACTGTATTGCTGTCAAGCAATTTAAACTGGTGATTAATCACCACAATTTTTTGTACTTAACCATGATTAATTGGAGATTTTGGTGCAAGCTGATTTATTTGGTAGACTCATTACATTTTACTCACATCAGTGATTTTTTCAATTATGCTCCCTACAACTGCACATCCAAAATAATTCAAAAATATCAGAAAACAGTGCTCTGAATTCTTGAATTCTCGTATTTGAGAGTAAAACATTAGTTAGCATCCAGCTCAGGCGTCTGACTACGAAAACACATTCCCTACAACCAGTTGTGAAGCGTCGGAAGATACATTCACTCTCACGTTTTATTTGTATCTGCCAAATTATATATGAGCTAAATTAGCACCGTTTATTAGCATGTGGTATTGCTAATCGAATTGATGTGCTCAAACGTCACAGTAGGGTAAAATTAAAATACCTAATCTGACATTGGCACGTCCGTAAGCTCAGAGGTGTGTGTTGTGCATGATCTGAGAATTTATATGGAAGCTTGTTTAGGTATAAGCAAAAGGTGTCAGCATACCTGTGGAGGAGCGCTGACAGGTTCTAACCAAGTCCTCTGGGTCTTATATAACAATAATTAAGAGTGATGTGGAACAAAGATAAAGATCAATTACCAACCTAACCAAAATGAAACCTACACCAGTCATAACACCTGTGTCTAAATGAAGCCTATTGATTCTTTTTTTTATTTTTTATTTTTTTTTTTGTGGTTGTGTGGTGTTGTGCAAACACTGATCTGCTGAAACTCTAACCTCTAGGGAGTGTGGATCACTAAATCCTTTCATAACAGAAACCCAACTACATATCTCATGGACTGAGGAAATGTAGAGTCAGAGGAAAGGCTAATTAGAGGAAAGTAAGGAGCGATTCGATGTGAATTGTAAGGGAGTAGTCAAATATGACAAGCATGTGCTTCTCATTCAGCATGACATAATTTAAATATGTGCTCTAAACTGCAGTTTGGGGAATATTGTTATCCGCCAATAACATCCTGGAAATAAAAGGTAGAATTTGACTTTTAAGACTTGAACCTGAAATAGTAATACACAAGTAGATTGGATGAAATAATAGTGGAAAGCAAGATGCTACCTTCATCAAACCACCTACTCAGAGAATAATTCCTTAGCAGGCCTCTGGAGAGTTAGATAACATGCTGAGGAATCAACTATATTGGAGCAAGAAAATGATCTTACTGCCTCTTCAATACCTGTGCTGGATATTCTTGTTAAAAAATCTACCAAAAGGACATCGTCTGAAGTTAAAGATGCTAAGGAATTTAACTCAAAATCTGAGTTACTAAATTTGTTAGAATTGTTGTCCTGTGATATTGATTTCAACTGCAGTCTCAAGTGCTGTACTGCCTCTGATTGCTTTTCTTACTGGATTGCAGTTTTCCTCTCCCTGCTGAAGAAGTCCATAGCATAACACTGCTACTAGGACCCACTATGAGGATGGTGTGTAAAGGAGCTTTTCTTTTATTTTTCTGCCACACTATGATACTTTGCATGCAGTCCAGAATTATGTACACAAAAGTAGACTCTAGTTTATACTTGACTGTGTAGGGAAACATGTCAATGTATTTTATTTAGGGTATCAGAGTAAATGGAGCTAAACAAATGCATCAAAATCTACTTGGATTTTTATTTGTAAATTGTCTAAAAACTCTGTATCCTTTCCCTTCCGCTTCACCGTTGGGTAAAACCCTGTGTCGGTCTGCCGCTCGAACATTTGTGGTTTAAATGTGGAAAATAAAAAAAAATAAAAAAAAACAAATACATAAAATCAATAAATTGCAAGAATTATGAAGACAGCTTGGTTACGAAGATATCCCAGCAGCATATTTGTATGCAGTATCATCCATCTTTGCCAGCATACACCCATACAATGAATTGGGATATAATCTACAGAAAATTTTGTAAACACATGGAGTCTTTATAACTTAAAATATGTACATGCAATACGGTTCTTATTTGTTAAAGAAGAAAATTTGTTTGAATTTTTCATAAATCAGTTTGGGTGTTGTACAGGAAAACTGATACCTATCAGCACTACTGGCACTTTTAGTTACCATAACAGCAAAATATGTACAAAGGGCGTAACTTGAGGAACTTTCAATAGTCTAGTATCACTTTTTTGTCAGTGTGTGTCACTCCTCTCATTTTATCTTTCAGCCAGCAGCAGCCTCAGCTGGACCACTGCCTGAAGTCGGCTACCAGCTGCCGAGCTTACGCATTGTCTGAAAAATGGGCTAAAGAGTGATTCAGTGGGCTGCAGGCTCAGCAACGAATCACAACGAGCGAGCGGTGGGTTGCTAAAGTAGGTGACGCACTGCCAGGCTGAGAACATAACCAGGAATGAGGTCATCTTTGCCTGTTTGCCAAACAGGTTGGATGGTGACCAAAGTCTATGTGAATCTTCATTTCAGTTGCAGTTGCATAACCATCTTGTTTATGATTCAGATACTGGCACCATAATTAAAATTAATGAAACTTCTAAAGTTTGATGTCATTTTCACAGATAAAGACCAAGCTGTTTTCAGTTATGCAGTAGGAGTTTAATATCATTGCAAACGTTTTGTAACCAAGTCATGCTGCCAGGATGATGCAATCAATTGAAAAGCACCAGGACAGTTACATGAAGATTGGTTTAACATTTTGTCACTTTCCTAAAATAATGGCTAAAGCTATTTTTTTGCCAAAAGTGATTTTTTTGTTGTTGCCAAAATCAGTTTTGGCAAAAATAAATAAACAAATAAAAATACTAAAGTCGTTGTAACAATTTATAGACCACTTGAAAGCAAAAAATTGGAGGATTTAGGTAATGAAAAAGAAAACATTTATTTCCCCCTGGGAAAAAAAGTCATTTATTATTTCTGATTATGTTACATAAAGTGAAAAGAACTGTTGTGGAGCAAGTCGATGCTTTTCTGTCTTCCGACACACTAATGGGATAAATGAGGAACAGCGCCCTCTGCTGACTGCAAACTGCACTAAAAATTGCAATTACCATCACACTCAAGTGGATGGTAAACATGATGACATTTAGGGTGAGATATAGCAGCAAGTCCAACCAGAAGCATCCAGATGGAGAAAGGATAGACGCTTAAGAGACCACGCATGAATCACATCATTAGTAAATGATCCTGTAAGGTCACTGTGACTCAGAATGACACCAGATGAAGTAATATAGCAGTTTGTAAATGCAGGTGGCACAGATTCCTTGCTTGACGCAGCTGTTTGTGCAGGACTCTACTGACACCGGTCACTTGGCAGGTGCTCATGCTCGGGGTTCCACTCTGACCTGCTGAAACACTCTGCGGCTTTGCGGTCGCACTCACAGATGAACATCTCACATTCATCGTTCTGGTCTAGAAAAGAGAAAGCAAGAGTTTCAGTCAGTTTTCAATCTCTGACAGCCAGGTAGTACTGGTGAGAATAGTGCAATGACAGGGTTGTCAACTTCTGAGCAGAGCTTGAAGTGAGGAGTGTGTATGGATGGAGTCAGTAAAAAGTAGAATGAGTAAATCCACTATGTACAAGTCAATGACAGATTTGTAGCACTGCCTTCTCTGTTTCGAGTGAGAGTTATCACTTTGAAATGACGGAAAAAAGCTTCAATCTCACTATCGAGGAGTAACAGTTAGCAACTCTAGAAAAATAATTTTTAAAAAGTCGACTCACTTGTACAAGAGAGCTTTCTGTTAGCCTCATCACAGGTGTAGGAGTAAACCTCAGTATAAGGGTTATCCAGGATGGGCCAGCACTCCGGATGCTGCATGGCGTCACTGTAACACTGGTCATGAATCTGGCAGCACCTGTATGGAAAAAAAACAATGTCAAGCACTGCAATCTTTAAAACAAACCTATAATATTTTTAAGTAGTGTTAGTGTGAGGCGGCTTAAATAATGACCTATCCAGATCATCAACGGGTGTGCCAGAGCCTCCGTATCCACAGTAACATCCATAGTCTGCATAGTCAAGAGCAGGCCAGCTATCAGGTAACATACACAGGATCATGGCCCTGAACTGATGGAGAGCCTTGTAGTCCAGTGAGTGGGCTGTAGAAAAATAACATCACATGATAGTGACTTAAGTGTGAATATGTATGGTAAAAAGCATTTAGAATTTTTAAATTGTTTTATATTTTGCCATATCATCACTGGAAACTTGGTGACACAGGTCACAGGTGACAGATCAACACAAAATCACTCATAACTGTCATGTGGAAGGAAAATTATTGATGTTTCTACACGTTTTTGAATCAAGCATTCAGTTTCTATGCGCTACTAATCTGGACACACTTCCAGAAAACTGTAAAGGAGCCGAAACACAGAGTTCAAAATTGATGACAGTACGTTTTTGTGATGTAAAACACTCTAAACTGCCTTGTTGCTGAAATAAACTTGATTTGAAAAACAAAAAACAAACTTGCAGATGTAATTGAAGAAAAAGGAACAGCAACAATGAAATGCAGCATTTACACTTTAACTAAATCCAAGTGCATTATGTTTAGCTATCGCATAGCAAGACAGTAAAATATATTGGAGTTTAATTTTGTATTTTGAGAAAACTGAATATTTTAGGGGGTATAAATACTTTTTACAGTCTAACAATTTCTGTGAAGATGTACTCACCTACAGAGAGACCAACAGTCAAGAGGAAGATCGTCTGAAAGGCATTCATTCTGTGAGTGAAAGGCTTCAGTCACAAAGTGACTTTCACTCAAACACAAAGTCCCTTTATATACATCATGTGTGGGTCCTTGCTTGTCAGCTGTCCATACAGCACCAGCTCACACGCATTCACATCCACAAAGCAAGCTAGCATGTGCAAAGGTTAAATATTTCTCACACCTTGTAAGCTCCGACCTCCTATGGACAAGCTCCCTGCCATGAAGTCATAGAATCTCATTGCTGATTCATCAGTATGGCAAAATGACACTTGCTTACACATTCTGAACTAAATTAAACAAGAAAAATCTTCATGTTTTTCTGTAGTAATTAAAAGGTTCAGACTGATTTTGTGTGTACATGCACTCCCTTCTTATCCTATCCATGCGTTTAGCTGTCCAGTTATTCAACATTTAAGGGGAAACACATTTAGAGGACGTTTTTTTCTTTTTCCCCCCACAAGATGTCAAACTCTTGTTGAAGCATGTTGTTGCAATGACTCATAAAATCTACCAACGTACCAAGAGTACCACAACTGAAACTGATGCACACATTTTCACAATCGTTTTTCAATGAAATCTTCAATGGTACACAGTTGAGACAGAAATTATTCAAGCATCTGGCAAATTTAAAGTTATTTTTAATTAACCAACAACGGAGCTATAGAGGAATCAATTCTTACTTCAATTTAAAAAGTGGACTTTCCACTTAAAAAGTGGAAAGTCGAAACTTACCTGCAACTTCCAGCCAGAAGAAATATGTTGGTCAAATTAAAAGATGACATCAATCAATTTTGGGATGAACTTAAAGCAGCATTTTCTGAGTCAATAAAAGTTTAATTTAAAAAATATAATTAATTATTTCATTTTTATTTTTGAAGCTCAGATTCACAAAAGGTGCAGGCAGCAGAAACTGGTACTTTCCAGTTTGCAGATCCTCCACCAGAGGGCAGATTTCATGCATGATTTCTCTTGTAATCATGTCCTGGTCCACTTGGTTTGTGAGGCTTACAGCTACATAGTTTACCTGTTTTTGCCCACATTAGTCAAGTAATTAATCAATCGCCTAGCACAGTTTAGAAAGAAATATAGAACTCATCACAATACTATTTTTTAAATTGAACTTTGAATATTCAACATTCCACACTCTGATGAACAAAACAGAGGTCAACAGTTGGATGTGATCTCAATTTAATCTTCATCATGCAGACAAATGAAGAAAATATGACAGCGGTATCAGTTCTACTCTCCCGATACATTGTCATGTTAGTGCACGAATTCAACATCAAATCAAGAGTTAAACTTTTGATTGAGTGAAATGGATTTTACCATACAAGGCAATCAACACAATAAAAACAATATGGATCAACAGAATGAACAACAGCATCTAAAATATAAATAATATAATCTCTAAATGCTCTAAAAAATATATTATCTCTGCCCTGTGTGCTCGGCACTCCGTACATTATGTCCCCATCAACACAAACAGCAGAAGACAACACACAGACAAGTGCCTCAGTGCATATGTTCAGTCTGTAACCTGAAGGTTCACATTCTTGATTGGTGACGTTTTGTTTTGTCTTCTCGACCGTGGGAAAGTAAACAGGAACCTTATTTACACATATTTCTATCAGCGTGATTAATGAGTGCAACTACTTATATGTTTCGATTTAAAACGTTTCAGTGTCCCACCAAATCATTATTTGCTTTCATATTCTACAAAGCAAAAAAATATCCCTGCAAATTAATGTACAAGGAAAGGCATGTTAAATAGGAATGTAATAATTGACACATTTACAACCTTAGGTGGATGTTTACAATAACTACATATGCAGAGTATAAATCACTATAAGAGTGCTCATCTGTTTTTAGTAGTGCTTGAAAATCTAACAACTTTTCACTGTTTTTATTTTAATTTATGAAGTTATTATTCTGAAGATCTACAATCTTTTCTTTGTTGCCTCAAAGTAAATGTTATTCTTACTCTACATCATCTCTTTTTGTTGTATTTTTTTTCTCTCTGTCAGTCTGCCGACTTTTTAATGCAAATTCTAACAAACTAAAAAAAAAAAGAAAGTAAAAAAAATATTCTCTTTTCACGACACTGACTTTTCTTCTTGCAGACTTCTCCGTATTGCTCACTGTGTTGCTTCGGGCGTTCGACCCACACACTGCATCGTCTCCGAAGGCACTGGATTGTAACTTTTGAGGGGGCTGGATGCAAGTCTGTTAGCAACGGCTGATTACCCACAATTCTTCACTCGGCGGAGGATGAAACTGATGCAGACAGCGACCATGTCTGAGGCTTCAGCCTGATAAGATTCAACAACTCTCAGTTTGAGGTTCTAAGTAATCTCCTTTGGCGACCAGATAAGACTCTGATATTCCCTCACTGCCAATCTGGACCCGTCTGTCTTCCTATAGTCACATTTTGATTAAATCCAAGCCTGACGTTTTCTCTTTAAAAAATTAAAAAAAAAAAAAAACAGGTCATTCTGGTCATTAATGTTAAAAAATATATTACAACTAAATTTTCAAGCGCTACTGGTAACAGTTTTGCCTGTAACAAAAAAAAAAGGGTAAAACATTTAACTGTAATGCATTTCAGTGCTGATGTCAGAAGTTTATAAAGCTAAATGTCACGTCATCAATATTTTTATGAATATCCTCTCAGAGGACATTAATAATAATATTTGAAATGTTCTGTATGTTTGACGATGTCTCTGAAATGCCTTTCAACTTGTATAATTCAATACAACAAACCATCTCTAACGAACTGTAAAGAATTGCAATTTTGTGATTATGTTTATATTTCATTAAAAATCATATCATTAAAGTCCTTCATTCATCCCACTTCATTTGCTGTTCAACTTGGATAGACATGAACAGGTGAGGGATTTTTAACAGGTTTGGTCTAATTTTTCTATTTCATGGAAGAAACTCAGAAATATTCTGCACACTTGGTGGATAGTTCATGTGGCTGGAATGAGACGTGGCCATTAGATGGGCTTATACAATAAAGTGGTGACGTACTTCTTCTTATACCGATGTGTCGCGCTAAGCACCATCACTCCATCCTGTGACGAAATAAACACAAGACAGAGGAAAGATTAACCTAAAAGCATTTCACTTCCGTAACTTGAGGTCATCGGGTGTAAAAAAGGATTTATATCCTTTAACTTTTTAACATTTTCTCATGTTACACCCACTAATTGCAATGCATTTTGTATGACTTTTATGTGGCAAATGCTCAACTAGTACTGCATCATTGAAAAGTAGAGAATAAAACGATTTTCAATAGTTTTTACCAATAAAAATCTAAAAACTGTCCATTTGTGTTTGGCCGCCCTGATTGGACTCCTGAGTGAAATCCTTATGATTCCAGTAAATGTAGACGACAACACCTGACCTGTCACGGCAAAAGAATTTGCTGTACAATAAATTGCATCCCTAATTACTGCAATAAACGTCAATATTGCTGTTTCGAGACCAATTTCAAATCATATACTTACAACGATATAACAATGTATGTCAGCCCTCTCATAGACCAATAAACTTAATGTTTTTAAAGAAGTTGAAGGTATTTTAAATATCCAAATAAAACACAACCAAAAACAATTAACTGGATGGATGATGTCTCTGTAAACAAAATGTCCACTCAAAAAAAGTCATCAGAATGGAAATTGTCTAGCTCATTTTAATTTATGGTGCCTTTAACTGCCTTAAATTAAGTAAAAAGAAAAAATAAAACGGTACAAAACAAATACCTTAACTCAACATTTTGTTGGAAAGAGTCGAAAGCTTATCAACCGCACCCTACCTTAAAAGGAAAATCACATTTAGCTTCTCCCATGTGAACTCGGCTCGTTTGTTTTCTTCCCCCCATTAAGTCTCAAACTATCGTCTCTATTTATACGTTGGCATGCACTTTCTGGTTGTTTTTCCACTTAAGAGTGGTGCAGCAAGGGAAATGATCTGCCCTTCAGTCTGTCCTGCAATCCTTGTGCCAGCATCTTATCACTGCTGGCATTCCACAGATACGATCCGCTCTGCAGGCTCAGTACATATGCCTGCTATATGTGGTAGCAGTGAACATTTTCTGGGAAAATACCCATAAAAGCTGGTCATTTCTCACAATGATTTCCCACACCAGCGGTCACACAGTGAGCATACATTGACAACAGAGGATATATTTTTTTTTGTAGTTCGGTAGTTCAGACAAGTATGAACCGTACCTTAATTGAAAGCGCGTAAAGGTGATTGAGCATGACGTGGTTCGGCTCTGGAAGTAATGCAGGGTCACACTGAAGATAAGAAAGTGGAAAAAAACAAATGAAAGAAAAATACCAGAGCAGATTTACGTTGCACATTAGATGCACTGCGTCTAAATAGGCCATGTAGTTTAAAACTTATAGAAAGATAAAGAAAAGCAATCACACCTTGTTTCTTTGGTAAAATCTGTAAAAAAAATGACAACCAGAGCAATCCTGAATTAAAATCTGATCCACTTACAGATATTCCAGTGTCTTTGTTGAGAATGACTTGGAGAAGGTGTGGAGGGAGGATAGGTGGGGACTTAAACTTTTCGTCCTGTTTGGGGACATAAGCGTCCTGGTGATATGGGCCGGGAGGAGAGCTGGACAGGTCTAAAAAAAAAAAAAAAAAAAAAAAAAAAAAGAATGGCTGGACTAATACAATAAATCTGAATAATATTAGGCAATCAAAAGAGTTTTGCAAAAGTATTCACATCCGTTAAACTTTTAACATTATGTCATGGTGCAACAAATGCAACAGCTTGGCCTGTAGAATCCAGTAATCACTTAAATAGACACTGTCTGATATAATGAAGAAAAAAATATATTAAAAAAATCAAACTTTTCGAGTGGTCTAGTCAAAGTTCAGGGTTAAATGTATAGACATTGAGTGGCGTTGACGTTAAAAAAGCCATTCGTGCTCAAAAATGCATCAATTTGGCTGAATTAAAACACTTCTGCTCCAATCAGCACAGTACTCTGAAAAGATCATACCAGCAATAAAACCTGCTGGATTATGTGAGGATATTTGGATTTTCCCATGCCATTAATGTGACATTGTGCTGCTGCAAAAACATAAGTTTACGGCATTTAAAAAATAAAAAAAAATTCTTATAGTGCATGATCAATCAATCTATGTAGCAATCATACAAAAATAAAGACTTGTCTGCATGGTATTAAATTTATGCTTTTAGAAACTAGAATCTGCTTCAGTAATTTTTTTTTTTTTTTTTGTGATCAGTTGTTAGCTCTCACCTGACACGTCAGAGGATTTTTGCGAGTCCACCATGAGAGCATCAAACACCTCGAAGTCAGTTTTCTTCACCTGGATGATATTATTAACGGTGCCCAGCTGGCTGGTCACAACAGGCTGTGAAAAGCCATGACATGGTCAAATAAACAAACTTCACAGACGACACAAAAAGAAATCCTCTAGTTAAAGCAATGCCACATTCCTTGTAATCCGAAACCCAAGTTAATTACTTGATCCAATAATGACCTCTCCCGCTGTACATCTAAAAGTGCTTTTAATTATAGGAGCTACCAGAAATAATTGGAGAATTTGCACTTTGTGCAAATGTAGAGTGAAAATTATAACCTGAGGGGATCAGGACTAATTAGCCAAGAAGTGTGTTAGAAGTGAAGCAGAAATCCTTACAAGGTGTAAAAAATGTGGAAGCAGCAGAGAGTTAAAAGCAAAGATTCATTATAAACGTCTTTGAAAACCCGATTTGACTTTTTCATTAGGATCAGTTGAGAAGTGGGACACATTTTCTGAGACACACTCTGGTATTTGCGGAAGTTATGGACCACAAACGCCCAGAATGATTTTTTTTTTAATGGTGTAAATGAAAGTAACTAGCCTTCAAGGAGCACACATGGTTTTAATGGATTAAAAGACTAAATATTTTTACCAGAAGACATGACTAAATATTCAAGAAAGTTTAGAAATCATAAACAGCAGAAGTCAAAAACCATCATGTGCCAAAAGAGCTAAGCGCTCAAATTTAAATGCTTAAAATATGTAGTAGAAAAAGTCTGAACAGATGTAATAGCTTACCTCCTTTGGGTCATGGGTCCACTGGCCATCCACATAAAACTTGTACTGATGCTCTCCCTCGGGTAGATCTACAATTGCCACAAATGTGTTCTGACTTGAAGGAAGATAAAAAAAGAAGACATTTAAAAACAACTGCAAGTAATAATAATTAAACATTACTAAATTATGGAGGATGTAGCAGCAGAGTTTAGGACATTGCCCCTTACCTTCTTATTAGGGGAATCTTATTGGCCCAGTTGTTGAAAGACCCAGAGAGGTAGACCTCTTTTCCATCCCCTGTCCAGCGAAAAACAGTTGGTCGGTCGACAGCCAGGCCTTTATCGTCTGCTTCCAGGTCCTGCTGCCAGGCAAGGAACTCCTCCTTCCCCAGAGGGGCCTGAAACACACGTCAGAGAGATACGATAGATCCTCCTTTTACCTTTAATAGGAAATGTGCCTCTGAGTAAACATAAGTGGATACCTTCATGTCTTCTCCGTGGAAAATGTCAGCATCCTCTGGGCTGTCCATGAGGATTTTGGGTCTCTCTCCCTCTTTGATCCCCCGGCTGTCTCGCCGCTGAGCCTTCTCGCCGTGGCCCATCGCAGCCCGCTCGCTGCTCGTGTTCCCCATGGTTTCGTTTTCTCGTAGGCCGTCACGAGGTCACTGCGAGTGGAGTCAAGAAGTTGTGTAAAGCCATCGGAAACTCTGATAAAGCTCTCTTTTAAACAATTTAATTAATCATTGACAGCTGCTGTGGGAATAAGGTCTACAGGAGTTATTTAATTCAGTTCCTAGGTGCAGTGGACTTAATTTTCATGTTACCAGTATGATAACATACTGGTAACATCATCACACAGATTTATTGACTTTTAGACAATAAAAACCATGAAGGATGAAGGAACTGAACAGGTGAAGTATTTTATCAGAGCTGCTTGTGTTTGTTGTTTTAGATTCAACATGATCCTCACATTACATTTCTCCCAGCGTGGATTCTTATCTCTGTGAAGGGCCTCGGGGTTTGTGTGGAGAACCTGTTAGTTTCCTTGTAGCCAACCACAACCTCTTGTAAGTATTCGTTATCACCTAAAATAAGCATACAAATGAAATTCCCTGAGATCCAGCTGTCGGAGGATCTCACAATCGACTCACTGACTGAATGGTGATCAGGTTCTAAGGCTGCAAAAAAAAACAAAAAACAAAATCCTTAGGGCTCTATCTCAACAGTTGATATAGGTGTTTGTGCTGATATGCTGTTTAGTTTTCCAGAAACCTGGGGCGATGCATTATAAGCGGTGCCTAGTATTGATCAATTCACCCATGTAACTACATAAGCAGCAAGGGGATGCTTTTTCTACTCTTAAATATGAATAAAATATTGGGTTAAATTAATTGACCAGGTTTGTGGGGTCAGTGAGGAGAACAGGAACCTCGCGATTCTTCACAGACCACCATTTTGAACTTTACTGAAACTCGTACACAACAGGATTATTTGGTAAATGTTAAGGTCATTTCTGTATAATACAGCTAATGTTCCAGTGTTGTGTTCAGGAATTTTGTTCACATAAAAGAACATGTGTGTGCAATAAAGATAATCCTTTTTTTAATCTACTACTTCTCTTCATATTTGACCAAAGAACTGGTTTTAAAGTAAGCGTAAACAGACTCTACAAGATATTTTTATAACGTGCACTTGAGTTTTAAGATTATATTTTTTTAAGCTTTGTTGTCTTAACATCTTATAAATAAATATAGAAGAATGGTTATGATTAGTCGTGCTTTCCATAAATATATATCAATTTGTTATCCTATTTTAGTGCAATAAAAACGTCTCATTAAGCCTTATAAGACTGCAGTATTTATTGTTTTCATCTATAAATTCATTATAATTCAAATATTATGCTACGTTGTATAGAAATCCAAGTTAGAAGTGTTTCCGTTCATCTCTAAGGCAGGTTTAGCACTAGACTTAATGATGAATGTCATTTTTTGAGGTTAAAGATGATAACTTAATAGTCCGTTTTACTGGATAAAAAGCAAACAAACAGTATTGTGTTAACTCAGAGCTACATCAGTTCATATTTGAGTTAAGAGTGGTTTAGCAAAAATAATCCAAACGTAGTTGTTTTCTAAGAGAATAAGCAATATTGCGCAGCTTCTGTGCATATTTTAGGAACGGCAGGGTCAAAGCTAAATATAAACCCCGACGTTAATAATCTCCATCACTGCTGCTTCCCAAGCTTGTTGTTTATTGGGAGAGAGCAAACCTGCAGAGGGTCCAAGCTAACATGTTGGACTGAAGCTAACAGGGCTCCATCAGTACGTCGACATTCGCTTGGTAAGAGGCTGTCTAAATACTACAGCTTATGAACACACAGGTATTGTTACAAAAACAGCTATTACAGATGCACATGGACGTGTAAAGTTTTTTTTTCTTGTTTTCTTTACCTCAGAAACGTTTATCGTCGAAGATGCCGGTGTCTCATAAACCCCATTTCGATGGATTCTAATGCAAAACACTACAGGGTCCAGCAAAACAAATCCGCCCCCCATCTGCGCAAGCGCACACGATCTAAATGAAATACACAGCAACTGAGAAAAACCGGTGCACGTCCAATATTTAGTCAACTCTTGTTAAAATTATGATATAAAAAGTATTCCCTAACTTTGACCAAATGCGTTTATTTTTGGGTTGTTTAAAGGAATTCGCGTCTTTGAGGTAATAGATGTAATTCTGTTTAGCCAACACTAGATGGCAGCGTGGTTCAAGTGCAGTACATTATGTTAATCAAGCAACACTTCAGTACCTTTACAAACATTTTCTCAACCTCTGGACTTGATATTTTGTTACATTTTAACAACATAAGTGCATTTTATTTGGATTTTATTTGACAGTCCAACAAAACGTTGTACAGTTTTGTGAAGTAGAAAAAAAGTCAAATGATTTTCTAATTTGTTTAACAACTAAATTCCTTAGGATGTTGTTGTCGTTTGCATTGGTCAGCCTAAATCTATGCATTTGTAGGTTTAAATTTGATCTTATTTTGCTCTGCAAAACTTCTGAAGCTCAGTCAGATTGCTCAGACATCAGTTGAGAATGTCAATTTTTAAGTCTTGCCACTGATTTTCAGTTGAATTTTGCTGAATATCCTTTGATTAAAATCCTTCTATTGAAGAGTCATCGTCCAGCTGACTTTCCATCTGCTTCCATATCGGATTTTTGCTTCATTGTTTCCTAGTTATACTGACAATTTTTTGTTGAGTTCATTAATTACTTTTTTTTAAGCTTGTTTGTTTTCTAGAACATTTTTTATACAAATATTGATTGTTGAAAATGCAGAGTTTATCTTGGACGGTCTTAAGAGCCAAGAGCAAAGAGTATTAGCCCAGGATCTGAGGTCAGATACAGACTTTTTTTGTATTATTTTTGTCTTAATATTAGATAATGGTAGACTATATGGCCATAATAATTGAACACTCACATATTTGTTAAAGTTGATCAAAACACTTCTGAGTGAGGTTACTATAACCTGCAAATTGTTATTATTAAAAATCAATTTCTCATAAAACAGCTCAAAGGCAGGTGGTGCTCTTGTGTTAGAGCATCTATTTTCTCTCATAACAGGGTAAAAAAAAAAGTAGATGATTTAACTACTTTCAACAGGCAGTAAGAGCAGGATCTGCAAGTTAAGCTACACACCTATTGTCAACAATGACAATTCCTTTGAGAGTACACTCTTGCTTGTTTGGAGCTTTCGGTCTTTTAAATCCACTGGAATTGTTCTGTCAGTCCGTCCTTCTACTTTTAGCAGAGTTAAGCTTGCAGGCAACGCTGGAAAAAAAAAAATCCAACTCTGTTTTTTATCTCCTACACAATTTTATAACGGCATCACTTTTGTTTTCCACCAAATGTTCACCCATAAACAACACCCTAGCACAGCGAGATTCTGGACACAAGCGGCTGTAGATACTGGAGGATTTGGCACATAATGAGGAGCTGTTTTTTGTTCTTGTTTTTTTGTTAGAGGAAGCCTTCTAGCAGAAATGTTTGATAGAAGTTTCATTGGACTGGCTTTATTTTTAACTGGGAAAATAATGTCTCCCACCAAGACTTTTAGAGTGGACACAGGCCTAATTATTGGCATGGACATAGTTTACTGTGGTGCACAGATGTCTATTCACAGCGGGTGTTCATTTCTAGAAATCTAATTCTTTTCTGTGCTGCCTTTATGTCTAATTTTACAAGCTGAGAGTGTTTGCTTTTTGTATACATGCATGTGTATCCCTCTGTCTATTTGCATATCGTGTAGACAGAGCAGCAGGAAGATGCATGACCCTTCTTAATGACATCTCCAGCTTTCATCAAACGTCATTAAATTAACTTGGTCTGAAAATACCCAGAATGGATCTCAGGAAGCATGCTGCTGTAATTGTCTTGTGTCACCTGCAGAGGCCAAGGGGGTTCCAAAAAAAAACTCAGTAGAGAAGGGTTGTATGCTTTCTTTATTTGTGCTATAATATTAGGGGGGTGGAGGGATTTGCTGCTTAAAACATGACTATAGAGGTGTGGTAGGTGGGTGTTGTTTGCTGCTAGTTTTGATGAGTGCAAAAACAGTTAGCAATGGTGAGACACAAGCTAATTTGGAGAGTTATTATACAATGCCTTCCAAAAGTATTAACAACCGTTAAGGTTTTGCACATTTTCTCATGTTAAAAATACTCATGTTTTTTGTATTTTATGTGTGTTTTTTGTGGTGGACATGAAGTAGTGTCACAATTCTAAAGGTAACTGGAAAATGAGGACATGTTTTCAAAATGTTAGACAAATAAAGATCTGAAATGTTGGTGTGCATTTGTATTCATTCCCCTTTACACTGATTCCCTTCAATAAAACACTTGCTTTCAGAAGACTAAATGTAACATATGTATGTAAGTGGCTCACTATTAATAGGTTGCAGTTTTCTATCACACAATGCTTTTTTTCCAGCTCATCATATAGCTCACAGAGCCCTGTTCAATCCATCATCTGTTGACAGCCTCTGATGTCCAAGCTGAGTGTTAACAGTAAAATTCCTCCACTCAGCAAATTTCCTACTTAAAGTGAGCTTCCGTGTTCCTTTAGGGATTTATTTTGGCCTCATCCATCTGTTCTGTCAACACTCACTGCTCTTTTGTTTGGTTTAAAAGGCAGACATTCATCCTCAGCTTGTGCCCAGACATATCTCAAGTCCTAAACTCTGGAGTCAAACAACGGTTGTTCAACTGATTATTTCCCTGAAGTCAACTTTTAGATTTATAACATTCATTGGTCAATATTTCTTTTGTTCTGTCTTATAAAATAATTAGAACTAATCCATGAAGAAAAGGTTATTTTGGTTCATCACCTGTCACTTCATTACATAAAGCTGTACTTCGCTCGAAAATATACAAATTCAGAACTGTCACGCCAATCTCCTGTGTACTTGTCTTCTTGAAATTGCAACAGGGATGACTAGTTTTTGCTTTTTTCTCACTCCTGTAACAAGCTAGAGGTGCCTCGGCTTTACGCCACGCTGCAGTGAATACACTGCCGCTATTTTGGAAAGAAAGAAAAAAAAAAGAATAGAGCATATGATGGGTAATTGGTATGACGCTGCTAATTTGTTAGGGTCCAAAACTTTTACTGAGTATTGTAGAATGAATTCTTTTATAATAAGTTGCTTGCGGTAGACTACAGAGATGACTAAATCTGCAGGTTTCTCTACTTCTTCACCCAGAGTTGCTTGGCAGACATTTCGACAATAGAAGCATAGCTCAGGAAAAAAGAATATCAAGAAAAGTTCTGCAGTTTTTGTCACTCATTTCAGAAAGTGAATCACATAGAGTGAAATATTTTAAGCAAGATTTCAAAGCATAGCACGGGGGTGGCAGTGGCTCGGCAGAGCTCGAACCCTGCTCGCTTCGTTCCCACTGGTAATCAGAGGTGAGAAGATTCACAAGGAGTTAACTGGACTGAGACTGGAGTCAATACATCCAGAGTCACAACACACATGAATCCTTGGCATGAGGTATAAATGGAGTATTTATACCCACGACTGACTCAGAAAAAAAAAGCCAGTAGTATCTTATTCTGCCATTGTTGCTCAGTGCGCTAAAGTGCTCCATTCGTATTAAAGTAAAATTTGCATTTCATTTGGAATTTAAGCTCCCAAAGCTGTGATGAAGGCTGCAAAATATATAACCATCATGTAAGATGCTTAACTGGAACAATTAGTATGCTGCTCTAATCTTTCAATTTCAGTGAATACTTATTTTGTGTAAAGACTTTGCAGGAAGAAAATGCACAATCAAAAGCTAAAATATACTACTTGTCAGTTACTTTTCTGGATGGGGTAAACTTTTTTTTTTTTTTTTTTAAATCATTTGGGGAAAAAAAGGTACCAGAACCAAAACAAATATTCAAATACAAAATCACATACTGCTGGCTTTGCAGTCTTTTCAGGGAAATGTTTTCATCAGGAATATGTTTTCAGTTTATTTGGGTTAAATAACCAAACTCATTCACATTTGACCAAGTATTTTGTGCATCAATTAGCATGGTCAAGAGGATAGCAATTGAATCTGTTATGAAACAATTACATAATGTGCCCATCAAAACCATTTTTCTCCCACACTTTTTGCATGCTTAGTTCACTATTTCAACCGCCTGACTTTCAAGTTAATATTTGGAGTAATGTAACTGCAAGATTGAACTCCAGTCATTTTATACACATAATGAAAATGTAGCAAGTGTTTAAAACCTATCTTACTGCAAATTAAAGTTTTTATAATCCTTTTTGCGGGAAGTCCTCTTATCAAGAAGAAGGTGGCCTCATGGCAGACACGTCCTTCCCCAGGACGTTGGGCCAATTTAAGGCTGAGAGTTTTTAACACTCAAACCTCAATCTACAGTTTTAAGACTGAATCAGTTTAAGGAGAATTCAGACAGAAGCCAGTTCATGTTATGTTTTTGCAGTTTGATTATTCTGTGTTCCTTTGTTTCTTCATTTGATCAGTCTTGTTTCTGTTTTATTTTAGTTCAGTCCTTCTTAGTGTTTCTAGTCATGTTTATTTCTTGTCTTTACTTATTCCTTGTTACTCTGGTTTAATAATGTTTCTTAGGTGGAGTTATTATTTAGTGTTAGATTCATTTCCTAGCCCCTTAGGTAATCTCTCTTGCCCCTGTGCCATTGTTTCTCTCTCTCCCCCCTCACACCTGCAGCCTGTTAGCTCATCAGCCCAGGTCTTTTGTTCCAGCGTTCACCCTCACATTATTTAAACAGTATATAGACCCTGTTACTTCCCTTTCTATTCTGTGTTCTCCTTGCTGTTTTTTTTCCTTTGGAGTTATGGTTTGTGTTTCAGCTCTGGCTCTCTGTTATTGTTGTAAGGTTTTTTTTTTTTTTTTTGTAATTTCTTTCATTCAAACCTTCTTCACCTACAAGCTGTCTCTGCCTTTCTGCAATTGGATCCACATACAAACACCTCCGCATGACGGACAAAGGTTGAACATTTTTACAGTAACACTTTTTTGTTTCTGCTTGGACTTGCAAGTTGTATATCATTGCTCAATGTCGAATATGTTTTTAAAAAAGAAGTGTGAGAATAAAGCAGCCAAGTGTGCAGCCA